TTTTTTTTTAAGTCCAAATTTTCTGATTTTAATTCTTTCGAATAATTTTTTTTTTCTAAGTCCTTTCGGATATTTTTTTTTCTAAGTCCAAATTTTTTGATTATAATTTTTTCAAATAATTTTTTTTTTCTAAGTCCAAATTTTCTGAAACCTTTTCAATTAAGACAGACGAGTTATTTATGCATGCTGTATTATCCCAAAGCCAACATTCGAATGAATGAGGCTCACATTGAATATTTCACAACGAGAAAATTTTATTGGGGCAAAGTTAAATATTTTAACTAAGTCCCAGTAATTTTTTCTCGTTGTGAAAATTTCAACGTGGACTTCATTTCATTCGAGTGTTGACTTTGGGAATTGGTGTGAGGGAACACTAAAAAACATAAAAAAGTTTCAACGCTGAACAGAAAAGAGAAAAATTGACCTGGGACTTAAGGGGTTTTTTTTAGGCTCCCACCTCCCCCTTCTCCCTCCTCCTCCTCCTCTTTCCCCTTTTTTTCCCTTTTTTCCGCTTTTTTTCACATTTTTTTTCTTTTTTTCCCTTTTTTCCGCTTTTTTTCACATTTTTTTTTCTTTTTTGGTGTTGTTTTGGGCAGATTTTTGGGTTCGGCATGCATCTTCCGCAATGTGTCTCTCTGCGTGTAACCTCTCGCATCATGGACCTCTGGTTGACCATCACTTTGCGTGTTCGTTTCAGGACCCTTTGCGCTCGCCAACAGCCAGCAGCCACCAGCACTGCTCCATTTTTTCTGCTTCCGAGTTGGTCGTCGTCGCCTTCAGCCGGACTCGATCCGTCTCACCTTGTGCCTGCCTCCAGAGCGATTTCACCGAGTATGCGGTCACTTAAACCGCTCGGCTATTTAAGTTATTGATGATAAAAGTTATTTTTATTCCTATATTGTATTAATATTGAATTTTAATAAAGAATATGTATCATACACATCTCTCTTATTCATCATCTGCCTCTACCCCTCTCTTTCCCCAGGTCTTCCTCTACTTTTTTTTTTTCTCTTTATGTATCTCTCTTACAGTCAAGTGCGAACCTTGAATTTTTCAGAAATATTCTAAGTGTCAAGGTCGAAATGCGACACCTGAATTTAATATTTTGAACTAATATTTGATAATTATGAAAAACTATACACTCGATTTTTTGTACCTCTTTTGGAATCGAACCGAGACACGCTGAGCAATCTTAGTGGTCACTTAACGATCTCGGCCAATTGGTTACATGAAACCGTAGTCTTTTGTAAAATTATAAAGTGTTATTTCCAAACTGAAAGATATAAGTTTCCTAAAAATGTTCTGTGTCAAATGTGCGAATGGCCGAGGTCGTAAAGATACGGTTTAGGCCAGAATATCAATTCGAGATTCGCCAGTTCGAACCCCATTTGACTGAAAAAAATATTTGGAACCAATAATTTTTCAAACTGTGTAAATAAATAAGACATATAGATAGAATTAAATTTATTGAGTGACAGTATTACAAAAATCGACCTTATATATATATATATATATATATATATATATATATACGCGTGTATGTATATATATATATATATATATATAAAAGATAAGAAAAAGTAGGAGGATAATTTTTAATAAATTCATATTTACGCCTGGTTAGCAGTAAACCAAACCTACTTTGGTGTAATTTAAAAATCTTATTATTTTTCCGATAAAAAGACAGTCTATCAGGAGCAGTCAAAATTGACCAAAATCGTGACTTTCAAATGCAATTTTAAGGCACTTAATGAATGCAATTAATAATTTTAATTAATGCTTTGTGTAGACTAAAGTACAATCTTTATACCAAACCAAAAAAAATACAAAAATAGCATCGTCTTCATAGTTAAAATCAGCTTCAAAGTTGGCAATTTTTCAAACTTCAATTTGGTACCAATGGCAGAAGAATTTTTTTTTCCAAAAACTGATTCCATATTCGGTATCAGCGCCTCGAAAACTATCAGAATCAGTCAAAACATTTTGAAAATCGCGAAAAAAAATTTTCAATTCATTAGTAAAATTTTGATTATGCAACCAAAGATTTCGATTTTTCGGGGGGTGTATGTGGATTTATTCAAAAACGGATAATATTTTCGAAATCAGCGTCCCAAAATCAATCAAAACCAATCAAAACATTTTGAAAATCCCGAAGAAAGCCGATTTTTTTTAAAGAAAAATCGATTTTGCAACCAAAGATTTGGATTTTTCGGGGAGTGTATGTGGATTTATCCAAAAACGGATAATATTTTCGAAATCAGCGTCCCAAAATCAATCAAAACCAATCAAAACATTTTGAAAATTGCGAAAAAAGCCGATTTTTTTTAAAAAAAAATCGATTTTGCAACCAAAGATTTCGATTTTTCGCGGGGTGTATGTGGATTTATCCAAAAATAGATAGCATTTTTGAAATCAGCGCCCCAAAATCTTTTGGAATCAGTCAAAACACTTCAAAAATTGCGAAAACAAATCCATTTTTTTGCTAAAATTACGATGTTGCAATCAAAGTTTTTGTTGTTTTCCAGTGGTACACTCCCTGAAAACTCGTACACGCTCATCAAACAGGATAATTTTGTCCTTTTCATCAAAAACACTTTATCCAATTAGTTGTTGATTATATTTTCCTTTTACTATAAAGGAGACGCAGGTTGTGAGGTTCCTTAACGGCATCCTTATGAGTCATAAGCACCTGTAATAAAAATCAAAATTTATTCTAAGGATATACATTTAAAATAGGATTTTATGTTACTTAATACTAACTTAATAAATTTTATCTGGTTTTCACTAATGTAAATAAATTAAATTGTCCGAGAAGAAAACTAAAAGTTATTCGAAGAAAAGTAGAAAAAGTCACAAATTTACATATTGCGTTTAAATTTGCGGTTCAACTGAAAATTATTCAAAATTTTGATATGCAATTATATAAAACAATTGATACTATTTGATAGTAAATTGTATCTTAAAAGTTATTAATTATTTAGTAAACTACGACAAGAAGTAATATTTCATTCAAAGTTAAATATTGTAATTTAACAAGAATTATTATAATGTATAAAAAATTGTTCATTTACCCAAATTATATCACTTTTTTATACATTAAGTTTTCATAAAAATTAAGACATTGACATTGACCAAATAACAAAAAAAAAACGCTTATATGTTGTAAATTTTGCACTATTTACACAATCTATTATTTATATTTACAAATTACATTAGCGTCATTTTTGTTAAATGTACAAATTTTATACAAACCTTATATTTGCATGTGATATTATATAACATTAAAATATTCAGAAAAGTTAAAAAATAAATAATTAAATACATTTAAAATCAAATAAAATTTTTAAAAGTTATAAAAATAAAATATGTGTAATAGTTATAAAAAATCTGATTAAATATAAAACACAATAAATAATAAAAAAATAATTAAATTAATAAATAAAAAATACCAAAAAATAGTGGATTTTGAAACGAATTTTATTACAAACATGATTATAAAATTGCAAGAGTTGTTAAGTACATTTTTGCAAAGTGAAGTAGTTTTATTAAAAAATATACGTACTTATATTTAACTTTAGTATTAAACTAAAGATTTCATCATCCAAGACACACTGAATTGTAAATAATAAAAAATCATAATATAATTATTATTATAGAACTTTACATTCTTCATATCACTCTCACACACAACTTAATTTTAATAAGATTTTTGTGAAATATATTATCACAATTTTAATAATATTTCATCATAAGAAATATTTTATATCAAAATATGTCACTTGATTTGTCTTGAAAAATTGTGATTATATAATATTTAGACAGACAGCTGGTAAGGCATTTTTCCAACATATAAAATTTGAATATGCAAAATAATTTTAGATTAAATATAAATACTATTTATAATTTGTAGCAAAAATTCAGAATAATTTTAGATTTTTTTTTTAAAAATAATTACAGTTTTTGATAAAACTTAGAAAATTTCAATTATAAATATAATAAAAAAACTAATAATTTTTGTTGCTTTATATCAAAAAAATTTTTTTCATACAAATGCCTCACCAGCTGCGTGTCTAATAATATTATATAAACTCACATTTTTGGGACTATTCGATTGGCATATTTAGTTCAATTTTTACTCAGTCTGCAAGCAGTACATTTAATTATTTAATTTTAAATATATTTCTCACAAAATGTCTAAAAGTAAAGAAGAAATAAACAAAAAACTAAACAAAATTGAAAAGTGTCTTGAACAGAATATCCAGAGTCTCCAGTACATTTTTAAAGAATTGCAAGAAATAAAAGAACTTTTAAAAAATTCAGAGGTATAATTGTGATAAAAAATTTAAGTTTAAATTAAATTTATGCTAATGTTTATTTTTTATTGCAGACACGTGAAAAGGAACAATTTTTAAAAGTTAATAATAATTCGTATGTTGATAGGCGAAGTCCCCAAAGATATCGGGATAATGTTAGAAAAACTATATATCCAGATAAAAAATGCCAAAGTGATGATGATTCAAATATTGATTAAAACTTGTAAATTTAATTAACACAAAAATTAGTAAGCATTATTTATAATAATATAAAATATCTTTCAGTTATATTTTATTTAAATTTTACTGCAAAACTTAAAATTTATTCATGATTTTGTCTAACGATTTTCAGGCACATGCGCGATAGTAAATAGAACATCAATTTGTATGAAGAAGTGTTTGTCATATTAAATAAAATAGTGAAAAAATACATTTATTTTGATGGGAAAATGTAGATAAAACAGGAACATTTGTATTAAAATATTTAAATTAATTGTCTGAATAAAATTGGATTTTTTGGAGCCTAAATCAGTACAGTGATATAAATTTATTCGTGAATGTGATATCAAAGTTTTTGTTAATTTAATAAATAGTAAAAAGTGTTTAATAAAAACTGTAGTATTTTTGTATCAAATAAATAACTAAAAATGCGTATTTAATTTTATTTCTAATATTTCTTTTATTAAAATGTCTCAAATAAAAGAAGAAATTCAAAACAAACTCCAAACAGTTGAAAGAAATCTCAAAAACATTGTTTTAGAAATCCAAGAAATTCGAGCACTTTTAAACAATTTGGAGGTATAATTGTGTTAAATATTGTTTAAACAAATTTTTGCTATTATTATTATTAATTTTTATTTCAGGTAGATGAACAACAATTAAAAGTTAATAATAATATTTATGTTGATACAAGAAGTCCTCAAAGACATCTAGATCATGTTAGAACTATTATATATTCAGATAAATGTAAAAATGAAGATGATAATTAAAATTACTAAATATTCTTAAAAATAGTGCTACTTTTGTATATATTACTTTTGGAATTAAAATTGTGATATCTCACAAAAATCTTATTACAATATTAAGTTGTGTGTGAGAGTGATACGAAGAATGTAAAGTTTTATATTAATAATTATGCATGATTTTTTATTTTTATAATGCAGTATGTCTTGGATGATGAAATCTTTAGTTTAATACTAAAGTTAGATATAAGTACGTATATTTTTTAATAAAACTACTTCAATTTGCAAAAATGTACTTAACAACTCTTGCAATTTTATAATCATGTATATAATAAAATTCGTTACAAAATTCACTATTTTTTATTATTTATTAAATTATTAATTTAATTAATCAAATTATTTTTTTATTATTTATTTTGTTTTATGTTTAATCAGATTTTTTTATAATTATTACATGAATATTTTTCTTATAATTTCAATAATTTTGTATTTGATTTTGAATGTATTTAATTATTTATTTCTTAATTTTTCTGAATATTTTAATGTTATATAATATCACATGTAAATATAAGGTTTGTATAAAATTTGTACTTTTAACAAAAATGATGCTAATGTAATTTGTAAATATAAATAATAAATTGTGTAAATAGCGCAAAAGTAAGCGTTTTTTCGGTTTTTGCAAGTTCAATGTCAATGTCTTAATTTGTATAAAAAATTTATGTATAAAAAAGTGATGTATTTTTTTAGGTTTGTTATTTGAAATTTTTGAAAGTTAAAGAAGTTTTGAATAATTTCTTGAAAATTAAAAGAATCTGAGTGTAAATAGTTTAATTTGGATTAAAACTTAGAATATATTAGAATATAGAAATATAATTAGAATATACTTCTTAATAAAATGAATAAAATGTACTCATATTTAATTATTTTTGCAATATACACTATTATTTAATATTAAGGAAATTATTCTATGACTAATATGAGTCAATAATTTATTTAAAATTTAATTTACCTATTAATTTATTAATTTAGTTTATTCACCCTTTTTTACGGTTTATTATTAATTTTTTACTTTTCGATTTCATTAAGAAATTTTAAAAAATAGCAGTTTTTATACTAAAGCATTTTTTATATTTTTATAAAATTAAATATAAAAATAAAAAAAATTTGTAATTAAATAAAATACTTATTTACTATCTTATAATTCAAGTACTTCTTAAATAATTACTAAATACCTTTTAATAAATTACTAAATATCTTTAATTTACTTAGTCTTGAAATAATTAGATTAAATTTAATATCTTTTTCAATTTAACTACTTCTAATAATTTAAAAAAATACATTTTCAGTATATAATTTTAAAGACTATTATTAGTATTCTTCACGATTTAATAATTTCTACTTCTCTGTTTATATTTATATAAAAAAAAAATGGGATCGATATAAAAAATTATATAAGTATAAAATAAAAATATCAAATAAGACATTGAATATAGTATACTACAAAGAGTTTTTATTTAAAAAATAAAGTAAATTATTATATAAATAATTATAAAGAAATAATTAGAAGCATTATTAGCAGTTTGTTCTAACAATTTTGCTACACAAATTTCAAATATTTAATTTCCAAAGGACAAGTTTATTTTTTTGCTAAAAAATCCGATTTGCTAATTTTGTTTTCTTGACGATTTAGGTCATTCTGAATTGAATGAGACTGAATTTCGAATCGAGCCATTTCTTAGTAATTAATTATTAGAAAAAAATTCGATGAAAACGAAAGATTCGATTTTTTGACGAAAGATATCATGGTTTTATAGAACATACTGAAATATTACGGTCTTACGACAAGTAGTTTAATTTTAAAAATTCATCAAATTTTGAAAAAATCTTATAGTCAAAATTTGTTTTAAAGGTCGCTTTTGTGATGTCAATAAGGTCAATAAAGTCAATTACAAATGGCTTTGAAATTAGCAAAAAAGTAAATGAACAGTTTACAAAAGTTCTCTAATTGTGTAAAACATATTACTATTTAAATGAATAAACATATCAATAACTATGTACACGATATCATTATTATTACTATTATTATTAAAAAATATCAATAACTATGTACACGATATTTAAGTATTTTCTTAAGGGGTTATATACACTTAATCGTCCGAAAAATAGCCAATTTCTATAATTTTTTCTGTGAAAACTATTAAATCTATCGACACAAAAATTTCTACACATATAAAGTCATCTTTTACCTATTTTTTTAAAAATAATTACGCGTAAAAATATTCATTAAAAAAAAGTTACAGCTGTTCTTCGGGAGCACCTCTCGAAAAACACTTTTTCGAAAAAGATTTCATTAAAGAAATGATAAATTTAGTAATTAATCGAAAATAATAATTTTTGATAAAATGGTGGTTTCTTAAAAAATTGGATTTTCGTCAAAGTTTTGACCTTAAATTGTTCATAAAAAACAAAACACTTAATGCCTAATATTTCACAAAATAAGTTATTAAGTTTCTTGAGTTTATTATTATTATTATTATTATTATTATTATTATTATCTTACTATTTCTATTATTGTTATTTTGTTATATTTTATTATTTTTCTAGTATTATTTTATTATTCAGAAATTTTATTTATATTATTTATTAATTTTATTTTTATTATTATTTGCTTTTATTTTATATTAAATCATCATATTACGGATATTATTTTCATGTATCCTTCGCACTCTTATTTATTTAAATTTATATTATTATTCATCAATATTACTAGATGTTAATTATTTAACAGTTGTAATAATTATTGAAATTAAAAAAAAAAAAAAAGTTTCTTGAGAAGAATATTTCGACGTTTTTCATGAAATTTAACATGGTGATAAAGTTTATGCACAAAACAGTCTTAGGAAAATTAGTTGAATTATATAAATTAATTAAAATTTGAAATAATAGACCACAATTTTAGGACATACAGGCAAGCACGTGTGTCTATCTAATTTTTGAAACGAGTCAGAAATATATCAGTAAAAAAAATTAATCTAAATATCGAAATCTCAATTTCATCTTATGAAGTCCATTATTAAGAAATTCATGCAACTTGTCTCAAGGCAAAGCGCCACTTGGGAAAATTTTTGCCAAGTACGAGGTAGTTTTAGTAGACGTCCCAAACCCTCAGTGTACAATTAATTCTATTCTTTAAAATATCTCTTATTATTTCGTTCGAAGAAGTTCGATTTTCAAAGTGGGGATACCTTGATGACTCCAAAACCACAAATGGTGGGATTTCACACAATCAAGTCAACAGCATTCGCCTCAGTAGATTACTGGCAGTCTTACAGAGAGCCAGTAGAATTAATAATAATAATAAAATAATATAATATTTAATTTAATAAAAAAACTAATTTTTATTAGTATTTTTTACTAGTTAGTTTGATAAAATATGTACGCCAAAGATATTATTAGAGATTTTTCGACGCGGTTTTTCGAACAAACTTTCTGTGGAAATCGAGTGATGAATAAAATAGAGTGATTTTAATTTTGTTGTGTTGAAAGTGATAAAGTTTTTTAAATTATTTTTGTGGTAAATTCTAAGCTGTTTTTATAATTAAACATATATTGTTTTTTTGGTTGCACATTGTTTGGAACTATAGGGTATGCCATCTAACATTTTTCATTTTCATTTTTTTTCAACGGTCTGCCGAGGCTTTTTTTTTCATTTTTGAATGAAATTATTATAATCATTATAAACTGAATTAATTTCATTATTAACTGAAAGGATTGTACTTTCAAATAAAAAAAGAAATTTGAGAAAATATACATTAGTTTTCCAAAAAAATAATTATTTGGCGGACCCTATATAAGAAATAATTTCTGAATAATTAAAATAAATAACTAATTAATTAGGATTTTAAAAAATACTTAAATATCTCAAAAAGTGGTGAATTAAAAATTGTTATTAAAATATAATATATTCCATCAGTTTTCTACGCGTTAAGAATATATGAAATAATTAAAATGACAATCTAAAAAATTTTACTATATATCGTGATTGCAGCTAGTCTAATTTTTAATAAAAAATTTGGTTTCAAATTATTATGATTAATTTGGATTTAAAATATTTTTTTCCAAAACATGGTATTTTTTTGATCTCTACATTTTATTATGAATTACTTAAATGTAAATGAACAAATAAATAATGAAAACAAATAACTAAATTTGAAGAAAAATAGAAAATTTGGTCTCAATTAATTTTTTGTTTAATTTAACAATTACCTGAGGTGTTACTGCTATTATTTTTAATTATAAATATTCATAATAAACGAATAAATTTACCTATATTTTTTATACCACAATATTCCAGTGTATAAGTTTTAAATATATTTATTATAACAAATCGTAGGAATTTTTTAATATAACAAAATAAATATTTAATTAAAAATATTTACTAGGTTTTTCAAAAATAGCAGTAACTTTGGTATTTAATATTTTTGGTATATTCAAATAATCTTTTTAATTTAACTGTTAATTTTGATTAAATTTATTTACAAAATAATTATTTGTAAAATAAATTTAATATAACAATATAAAAAATGTTATCATTTAATAAATTTTATATACTTTTAATTTTGAATTATTTTGGTTAATTCAAAAATAAACTGAAGAGTCTTAATTATTATTTTTGATTATAAATGTTTATACTAAATTGAAATAATAAATTTAAAAAAAATATAAAAAGTAAAATAAATAAATTAAAAAAAAGTTCGGTAATATATGATGAAAACGATCGTTTTGTATTATTTTTTAATTTTAATAACTATTAGAATATTTTAATTTTTTGTTTAATAATTTTAGAAAATATATTAATATTATTTTTATGATTGCTTCCCAAATTACAAAATATATTTAACATGTCATTACAGTTTTTATTAAATTATATTAAAATATTAATAATTTTAAAATTTTTGATTTCCTATAATAAATAAAACTTTAATTAAATTCGGAAAAAAATCT